ATGCACTATAATGAATTATTTGTAATAAATAAACCTAATCAGTTTAACTAGAAGAAAGATTACATCAGGATTATTACTTATAAAATATAATAGATTTGGATGTCAAAATCTCTGCTCGTAATTACTGAATAAGCATACGAAATTTGGATTATAGATGGTTACATTAGATTACGAATCATTTCTTGCTCATTACAGTCTCTTAGCTGCGGCTCGTAGTCTTCTACAGAAATTTAAAATGAAGATATTCAAAGAACATTTCCAAGTGGAATAATTAATATACGTTTCATAAGCTTTTTATAACCATGTCTTGCTGTGTTACTCATAAATGGTCGTCATAATCAATTTGACAAGTGCCTCCACTATGACACATGACCCCCACACAACCTGCTACTTGCGTAAATACTACTGACGCAGCCCAAGTAAAAAGTGAACATACAGGATGTTATGCAAATATACCCGTCTGTAGCTGTGTTATGCTTTTCAGCTATCTCGTTTCAYGTGTGCAGTATTACAAGAATACCTTAAAGTAGCAAAGTTTTTATATTGATTTATGTATCATACATGCTGTATAGCGGAAATCAGTTACTTTAAAAATCCAGCTAATATGACGAAACACTGAAGTTGTTTTTACCCTGATCTAACCTCCGTAAATTTAAAAAAAAAATCTGCAGGCTCATTGAATCACCTCAGAAAAAGCTTCTCCAGCAGATTGTCACTAAATCTGTGGTAACTTTTATAGCTGAGGAYTTATAGACGTTATCCTTGTAGAAATTCTTGTCTTTCCCAAACTGTTGATGGAGACACGAAAACCACGGTTTATGCTATTTTCCAAGAATGTAACTTTACCGAAATCGCTTTGCTGTGGAGCCACACTAAAATCCAGGTAAATCATTCAGTTTAAAGCACTTGAGTATGCTAAATATATAATTTGTAGACTTATGTGTCAACTGACTTGTTCATTCATACAATAATTGTACCACTGAATTGGGACACCCATAAAGATAACAAGTATTTTTCCATAATAGACACTAGCTTTGTTTTTTACTTTTTTCAAAGCCCAAGATAAAACAGAATGCAACATAAAATATATCAATATTTGTGCGTTTCAACTATCAGGTGAATACGAATCAAAGCTCARCACATTAGGAATGACATGGATGTTCATATCTTGATGTGTTGCTGAAAGCACACAACTGCGAGGCCATGCATCATTGTGTCWGTGCTACAAAAACACACATAGCATGGCAGTATTGCTTTGTAATCAAACTGAAATTGTCACTAAACCTGTCCAAACACCAATTAGGTTTAGGAACTGCTTGATGCTAACAAGTTTTTACTATCAGCTCAGCTCTTGATCATTTCAATTTTACAGGAAAGACATTGGAAGAAATTGATAACTGGTACTATTTTAAAGTACTTGCTATTACTGTCTTGTTTTCATGGCCATGCTGAGCCAAAACCACTTTAGCAGGCTTATTTACTGCTCACCACTGCTGTATGCCATAACTTGTAAGAAACGTTATCTGCGTTGGAGGCCTGTTCATATAGCTCCTCTCCGAGCTTGCATAACAACTACCTTCTGGCTGTGGTAATTTTGAAAAGATTCATCTGTTGTTTAACCGACATTGTTATCTTGCCTTTGAAGACTAAACGTAGCTGTGTGGGTCTTGATGCTCATTTCCTTCAGTGAGAGAAGCASCGTTCAATAGTGAGCCCACTTATTAAGGACAATCAGCGAGGTGGTGGAGTCCTTCTACCCTCATCTAAAAATAATTCTTTGTTTCTGTATCTTTATTCTGGATGAGTCTGCCCACAGTTCTCCTGCTTCATAAAACAGCCATTTTGGCTTTGGACCAGGAGGCGTTCATATTGCCAGACCTGCATGTAGATTCATTGTCCTGACGGTTTTGCAAGATAAACAAGCCTGGGTCTGTATTTTGTGCTTGCCTATCCTTGACTGCAGGAACATCCATCAGCATATTTCCTCATATTTAACTAATACTGTCAGGAAAGTTCATCATGCTTCTTTTCTTAGACTACCACTCCTTCTAGGAAAAAAAGCACAAATGTTAGAAATTTTAACCGATAGACAAGATGATTGTTACTAATGTTTTGTGACAGTTTCCTTTGATCGACCAGTAAGAGACTGTCAGAGCTTAAGGGTTTTTGCATAATTTCAATAAATCTGATGAGCCTTGATGTTAAATTTTCTCTATAGGACATGTCAGCTCAGTGTGAAGTGCTGTTATTGTCTAGTATGATGCATGTTARGTGTTAGCAAGTAAGTTAACATTGTCATATATGAACAAGTTATTTTCTTCAGKAAAAGAAGGAGGTATTCCTATATACTGTATATTGTGAGACTATTAATAATTCTTGGTTTGAGATTTATTCAATTTTATTATTTAGTCATTTAAATTATTCAAGATTAGTCTGTCTCAGTTTGGGCTTACGTCTAATGGTGCGTTCACACCGAACGCGATTTCAGCTTCAAAATCGCAGCCAACGCTGAAGTCTGAAGCTTGT